TGTTGGCAGAGCATGATACACTGAAAAAATTCCTGATTTAGGAGAAGCACAACCAAAACAACCCAAATATCAACATTATCCTCACCCTAAATCCAAATCAAGCTGTACCAACTACCAGGAAGGAAATTACCTTTATCCCAAAACCATCTCCTTCATGCAGAGAAAGTGAAGCTGGCTTGGCAATACCAAGGAAATGGGGGCATTTTCAAAAATCCCCTTTATTTTGCTCACTCAGGGACTCCAGGAATGTTCATCTGTTCACTGGAATTTTGTCTTCTTTATAATCCAGGATTTCCATGCTGAATTTGGACTCTGACACGTCCTGTTGTGTGTGGGGGTGGCAGGGATGGCTCAGCTCAGGCCTTGAATCAGCCCTGATTTAAGCACATCCTCCTGCTGAATTATCTTCTCCCTTATCATGGGAGGATATTCTGCTTTATTTAAACTTTGCCATCTCTTTGAACAAGAATCCAGGAGATCAGGAGTGCAATCACACCAGGCTTTAAAAATAGAGATGCTGAGCAGTTGCATTTCTTGGCTGTTTGCACAAGCCTGGAGTGACAGCTTTGGGAAAAAAAAAAAAGGATGTACAGGATGCTACTTTCCTTTCCCCTTTTTTTTTCTCCTTTTCCCCCTTTTTTAATTTCCTTTCCCTCTTTTTTCCCCCTTCCCCTTTTTTTCCTCCCTTTCCCCCTTTTATTTCTCCCTTTCCCCCCTTTTTTTCTTCCCTTGTTTTTTTTCCTTTCCCCTTTTTCCTTCCCCTGCTTTTTTCCTTCTTTCTTTCCCTGATTTTTTCCCTTTTCCTTTTTTCCTTCCCCCTTTTCTTCCCCCTTTCTTTTCTCTTTCCCCTTTTTTCTTCCCATTTTTTTCTCACTTTCCCCTTATTTCTTTCCCTTTTCTTTCCCTTTTCTTTCCCTTTTCTTTCCCTTTTCTTTCCCTTTTCTTTCCCTTTTCTTTCCCTTTTCTTTCCCTTTCCTCCCCCTTTCCTCCCCCTTTCCTCCCCTTTCCTCCTTCACCCTTTTATTCCTTTCTCCTTTTTTCCCCTTTCCCCAACTTTTCTTTCCCCCTTTTTTTTTCTCTCCATTCCTCCTTTGTTTTTCTTTTCTTTCATCAGAAAATAAATAAAAGTGTTTTCACTGCTTCTCTCCAAAATGTGGTACATGATTAATCTGCTTTTTTAGTAGCATCATGAACTTTTCCTGGGGGAAAAAAAATTTAAAAAAATTTTAAAAAAGGGAAAGGAGAAGAGATAATTGTAGATTTTTTTTTTCCCAAACCATTGACTTTCATACCCTTTCCTACCTTCTCAGAACAGGGTTTGGGCAGAGTTATCCATATAGGATTTTTGGATAATGTCATTGTTCCTTTGGTTGTAGGATTAATTAAAAGGGGGGTTGCTTTGAAAATAGGGGGGAAAACACATTGAAACACTGAAATAAACAAAAATTTGATGCTTGGAGTTGGGAGCTTGGATTTGGTTTGTTGTGCTCATCTTCAAAAATAGGGATACTGTTGGGGCCAGGATTGAGGTAAAGGAAAGAAAGGAAAATAAAACATTTCCTTGCTTTGGATGCTGAATGGCTGTAGTGGCTTTGGTTTGTTAATTGGAGATTTTTTTGGTTAATTTACTAATGAGTGTGGTGGGTTTGGTGTTGGTTAATTATCAGTGTGCTTAATAGAAGGCTCTCATTTGCTTCTTGTTCTGAGGTAGGACTAGGAGAGAAGTAAAGGAGGTTTAAAACTTTAAAGGGTATGAAGAAAAATTTATTAACAGGAATTAAAAGAAAGAGTAATAAGAATTAGAACAAATTACTAACAATATTAGTAATATAGAATTGGAACAAAACCTTTAGGATACTTCTCCTAAAACCTTTTCTTTTTTAATGATGATGTAAAGAAATAAAACTTAAAATTTTACTCAGTTTAATACCTCTAAAATAATCTTTCTTTCGTTTACTTAGGGAGAGAAGTCCCTCTTGTAAATGTCATGGAGATTTCTCTACAAGAAAATAGGTTTTTTTGTGGTTCTTAATTTTTACAAATCACAGCTGCTTGGGGAAATCTGTTATTGTGAAATCTTTCCTCTTTTTCACAAGCTTTTTTTGCAGTTGTGTTTATGGGCTATGTTAATTTTTGGGGTATTGTTTTAAAGATGAGCTGTTCAAAGGTGAAGATTCTCATTCTTTATACAATGCCTGGATATTTCATATTTTCTCTGATTTCTTGCTGCTTTTCCTTTTTCAATGATGGGTTTTTCACACAACACAAATAAATATTTTTTAAATAACATAACTTACCATTATTCCCATTTTTTCCCCCAAACAGAGAGGGCCAGAGATACTTTGAGGTTGAAGTATTTTAAGTTTTTCTCATCTCTTGAGAGAGGTGCAGCAATGTTCATGTTCAGATATGCCGTAAAAATGCAAAGTCTTTTAAAAGCCTCTCCATCTGCTCCTGCAAGTTAAAACACTCACAAGTGATCCTGTTCCTCACCCTCGGAGCTCTCCAGCCTTCCAGTTCACTATGTAAAATTAAAATAAAATTCTGCTCTTTCAAGCCAAATTTTTAAGAGTTTTCTTTGTGTTTAAAGCACTGAATTGTTTTCCTTCTGTACTGGTCAAATGGTTGATTTCAGTGGATTCTGGATTTCAAAGCAGAGGTGAAATTCTTAATTTTCTATTTTCTGATTTTCTAATTATTTTCTAATTTTCTAATCCTTACCTTTCCTATTCAGCCCCAAACCCACCAGGATTAACAGAAACCTTTGAATTGAATTTATGTGGGTTATGTTAAGCCCGTCCTGTGATACATTCAGAGTCTTTTGAGCATGCAGTGCACAGAATTTTTTTCATTCTATGAGAGTTTAAGCATTTCATAATGAAAAGCTTGAAATTGAAGGAATTAAAAGAGTAGTCTGTACAGGAAAACATTCATTTCTCTGTTGTAGGATGCGAGATACAGCGAGAAAAGTGGAAGAAAAATATTTTTCCAACCTTGCAACGCACGTGGAATTCCTTCCAGTGGAGTGGAGATCAAAGCTGACCCTCGATGGAGGTACAGGCCTCAGTTCTTGTGCTGCTCCAGCATCTGCAGAATTCTCTCCAGAAATCTCCTCTGTGCTCTCTGCTCGTGCTTTTCCTTTGGTTTTGTTTGCACAACTTTGAACATTCCCATCCCTGGCAGCGCCCAAGGCCAGGTTGGACATTGGGGCTTGGAGCAGCCTGGGATAGAGGAAGGTGTCCCTGCCCATGAATGATCCTTAAGGTCCCTTCCAAGCCAAATCACCCCATTATTCTGTTTTCTCATTCTCCTGGATGTAATTTAATTCATTTTCTTTATTTCCCCCAGACACTGTGGACTCCATAACCCCGGATAAAGTGCGGGGTTTGAGGGACATGCTCAACAGCAGTGCCATGGACATCATGTACTACACCAGCCCTCTCTACAGGGATGAGGTGAGTGAGGAAAACTGCTTTTTGTGTGGCTTCACTAGAGCAGGGCACAGAGGCTGAAAAAATCTGGATTTGGGAATGTCAGGGGAGCTCCCCTCTAAGGAAAACCTTTGTAAAAGGTGTTAACACTTTGTGGGTGTGTCAAAAGGAAAAAAATTGAAAGGAGAAGAGATAATTGTAGAAAATGTCGGGTTTTTTTTTTTGTTTGTTTGTTTGTTTTTTTCCCAAACCATTGACTTTCATAGCATTTCCTACCTTCTCAGAACAGAGTTATCCACTTAGGATTTGTGGGTAGCTCAGGATTGCCCAGCACATGGAGCAGCTGAAGCAATTCCTGTCCCAGGTGGTGGGAGTCATTTATCCTGTCTCACTTCTCCTGAAGGACAGAGGAGAAGAAAGACAGCAAAAAGCACAAAAGCACAATCCATGTCATTTATTCAGAGCAGAAATGTCTGAAATGGTTCTGTATCAACAGCTGAGAAATGGGAAGGGCTTTAATGCTGTTCTCCTTAATTTCTACATATCTAGATGTCTGTAGAGCTGAGGCTCTTTTTACCTCAGATAAAATCCATGAGTATTTATCACTTGATTTCTGCTGTTTCTGGGGACAGATGGGATGGCAAACACTCCCAGTCTGGTTGCATTTGTGTGCACTTGCCTTGCAGGGACACCAAAATGACCCCAGTTATTCACTTTATCAGGGGACTCTTCATATCCTGGGTGCTCCCATCCCACCATGACCCACCTTGTAGCTCTTGAGTGACCCCATTAACCAGAGGAGAAAAACCAGGACTAGGATCATAAATTATAGTGGCCTGTAAATAATGATAAGCCTTGAATAAATGATAATAACCTCAATAAATTAAGTAGCCCATAAAGGATGGACAGTGCTTCACCCCAGTAGCACCCCTTGTGTTTCACAATTACTGGAAAAACCCTCTGGGGCTGTTTTAGGATTAATTTCTGTAGGAATTGCAGCTTTTTTTCTGTGTTTGCTGTGTTATATATGGAGTAGTGTTAATCCTTTTGCAGCCTTGGCGCCCTGAGCATGTTTAGACTGGGGTAGGGTCACCTTACCCCAGTCCTACCTGGATATTTAATGTCAAATTAGGTGTGTTTAAATCCTTTACACTGGCAGCACAATTTTCAAACCAAAATCTGTACCTCCCTTGCTGCTCAGTGATGCAGAATTCATTGATCAGGGCTCTCCACTGTCTCTCAGGTTTCCCTGCCTGTTGTGTACCTGAAGCCAACACAGATTTTTGTGGCAAGCCATGGAAATCTCTCTGGCAGCTTGAAAACAGATATTTTTTTAACTGCATTAGATGCTTGGCATGTCTGTGGACATCTTATGGGAAATGGATTAGTGAGTAAAGTTCAGGTGTGCTGGCCAGCAGTGCATGAAAATTTAATTTACTGCTCAGTAGAATTGCAGTTTTACAGGTTTATCACCATCCCCTGGGTGTGAGAACTGACAGAGGAGGAGCATGATTAGATCTGATTACAAAATACCCAGTTGTTTTTATTCATCGAATCAAATTAATTTCCTTGAAGTGTTTGCAGCAGTCCACTCAAGTTACTCTTCCTTATCCCATTTTATTTTCTATTTCCTAACTTTGTGGAGTTTAACACTACAGTGTCAGTTCTGGATGGTTTTCCCACCTTCAGTGTGTTTTTCTTGGGGCACTTTGCTCCTTCCAACTCAGAGATGAGCCTTGGCTTTGAGGATTCACACATTGCTCAGAATTCATGTCCCTGCTCACTGCTTTATCCCCAACACCATTCTTTGTGTACCCTGGGCACTCCCAGTGCTTTCCACCCAGAAATCCTCAAATTATCTGAAAAGGGGATTATTTTATTAAACTTTCCTTTGCTTCTGGGAAATAAACTGAGGAAAGTGTCCCCAGAGTCCTGACACAGCTGGCTGTGATCAATCTTTAAGTAAAAACAATTCATGTGTTGGATAAACAATCTCCAACAGCATTCCAAAGCAGCAAAACACAGGAGAAGCAAACGATAAAATACTGTTTTCCTTTTTCTCTGAGGCTTCTCAGCTTCCTAGGAGAAGAAATCCTGGGCGAAGAGGATTTTTCAGAAAATACAATGGTGACACTTGGATGGGCATTTTCTTTCCCCTTTCTAGGATTTTCCCCATTTAGAAGTATCACAACTTCTCCTTTAAAGCTCCTGGAGCCCCCCAGAGCGTGGTGGGTGCCCCCCTCTCTGATTTCAGGTATTGTTTCTTCCCCAGTGAGGCAGGAGAATATCCAAAAGGTGCCTCTGCCTGCTGCCATGGGATGTGATGTGATACCAGGCAGCATTAATAATTCAGCACAGCCCCCTGAACATCCCAGTCAGATTCAGCTGGGTGGGTTTTGTGGCAGAGAATTCTGCTGTATCCTCCTCTCTTACCAAATCCCTCTTCAAACATTACCCAGATGTAAGAAAAAGCAATAAATTGATATTCTGATGCACACAGGCCTATTTCTAAATGAAGAATCATTTCACATTCTGGCCCTGACCTTGCTGGTCCATCTGTGGTAACACAATCTTGGGTTTTAGTGTCCTCACTGGGGCACTTGGTTTCTCATCTGTGTCACTGGAGCTTCATATTGCTTTAATAATAAATGCTTGCAGCAGAGATTAGAAAGACTAATTGTTGCATAGTAAATGCAGAGTTGTCACCTTCATTATACTGTTAAGTGCCTTTTTTTTTTACTGATCTTCCCTGTACTTACTTGCAGGCTCATTGTAATTCTGTGAATTATTGATACATGGCTTGGCAGAAAATTATTGGCCTTTAGTGCAGGATAAATATAATTTACAGTCATCATCCCAAGATTTCTAAGGATTTAGTGCAAATATTGGAGAATGTTTAGTGCAAAAAGTGGAGAAACTTCACCGTCCACCTTAGAATCATGGAATAGTTCATGTTGGAAGGGAAATTAGGGATAATCTCATTCCAACTAGACATCTTATTGCTCAGAGTCCTGACCTTGGACTGGCTTCATGATTTACCCTTATACGCAAATTTAAAACGAGAATTAATGACTAACCTCTTGAAATTTGGGACAGGTATTAACTTTTAGCAGAGCTTTCATCCCTTTGGGTTGTTTTGCAATGGAAATACCATTCTGTTGTGCACTCCTTTCAGCAGTAAAAGACAACTGGTTCAGGTGTGTTTGAAAACAAGATGGGAAGCAGGGAGTTTTAAGCTGAGACTGTTTCAGGACTGGTTTTGCATATGCTGTTGAACATAATAGTGAAGGAGCTGCTTGGCTGGTTTAATTAATTTGATTGCCCTTGAATGTGTTCTCAGCTTTACAAAGTCATTGGTTAGTGGCTGTGCCTGAGCCTAAACTTCATCCTGAGCACAGTGACTTGTTAGAAATGGGTTGGACTCAGCTTTTCAACACAAGAGGGGTCCTGGGAGAGGCTCGGGCAGCTCCACAGATCCTTTTTCTGTGCCATCCCTGAGACAGAGCCCTTCCCATCTGTTCCCACAGCCACAGCTCGTTCTGGCCTCTCATCTGTTGTTGTGACACTCCTCTGGCATCCCCCCGTGATTCCATCAGGGAATGTGACAACTGTTGTCCCCTTGGGGGTCAGCAGCCTCACCAGCCCTGCTGGCACCTTCTCCTGGGCCACGTGGAGCAAAAACTCCTCAGCTTTGCTTTCCCAATCCCCCCCTGAGCTGCAGCTCCTCCCTTGGCTTTCAAGGAGCTCTTCCCCCTCCAGCTGGCTCACACTCCTGCTGGCTGAATTTCAAAGGAGTTTGCGCTTTCTCCTCAAGTTCTCTTGACATTTGGGAAGAGTTGCTTGCAGGGCTCGCTGTTCCTCAGATCTTCTTTGCATTCCTTCCCCACAAAGCTGCAGAAGCAGTCGTGCTCTTCAGGCTGCAGAGGGTGCACAGCTCAGGTGTGCTGCACTCCCTTTCCATGGCTACCTGTCGCTTCTTTTTATTTTTCTTCAAACTGTTGATGTGGGAAGATTCTTTAATGGGTGAGGATCCTGTGGAGAGGGCACAGAGAAAGGAGCAGCGCTCAAGCTCTGTGTTACTGCTGTGCTCAGGTGCCAGCAGGGCTTTTCTGCTCCCTGTTTTCGTGGAAAAAAACCTCATTTCTTGGCTATTGAGAGGAAAATGTCATTTTCTACACTGATAATTTTGAAAAACCCCTTCAGTCCCAACAATCTGCCCATAAAATGGAGCAGGGGATGGAGTTCTGGATCTTCTTGGTGTGTGTCCAGGGGTTGTTTGTCCACACACAAATCCCAATTTCCTTCTGCTTTGCCAGGAACAACATGCTCTCCGTGTTTATTAATGCTGATGTCTTCAAGGCTGCTTTCCCTCAGAGGAAGGTGAACAGCAGCTTGGGATGCTGGAATTTAGTGGTTGAACAGCTGTTTGGGGTGCTGGTGCTGGAAATGAGGGGTTGAACAGCTGTTTGGGATGCTGGAATTCAGAGGTTGAACAGCTCTTTGGGATGTTGGTGCTGGAATTCAGATGTTTGGGGTGCTGGTGCTGGAGTTCCAAGGTTTGGATTTTTCCATTCCAGCACAGGATGCTGTTTATGCTCTGCACAAAAGGGCAGCAGCTCTGGATGTCTCACTGCTTCCACAATTTCTTGTTCCCATCATGATCCAGCAGTTGAGGAGGTGATAAAGACATGATTCTGCTGCCCCTTTTATCAGTGTTCTTCAGCCTGAGGTGACAGGGACATGTCACCTGGCTCCCCATCTGCACAAAACCCAGGCCTGTGCCAATTCAGGATTCCTGAATGGATGGGATAGGCTGTTATTTTTTGATTTCTTGGAAGCCATGTGCCAGCCAGGCACATAACTGGGAAAGCAAAGGGTATTCTTGGCCTGGTCAAGCCCAGCCTCCTGCTCCCTGGTCAGTTTTTGGCTTTCCCCTGGAATTGCATGGCCCCAAAGCCAGTTCCAGAATGGATCTGCATTCTTTCCTCTGCCTTTAATTTGGTTTTTGAAGGGCAGAGAGCTTC